TGTTTCATTTTGACTCTCAAATAAATGCAGAAGCCTAAAAATATAGCCAACCTCCTTAGGAAATGTTTGCATCCATCTTGGGTCCTCAGAACAATCAAGAAAATCCAAAATATGAACGAAATTCAATTTTTAGGCACAAAAGGGAGTCCAAAAAATGAAATGGGCTTCAGCATTGTAATATTTTGAGACAGAGTCTTGCTCTGTTGCCCAGGCTACAGTGCAGTGGCGCGATCTCAGCTCACTGTAACCTCCACCTCCTGGGTTCCAATGATTCTCCTGCCTCAGCCTCCCGAGTAGCTGGGCTTACAGGTGCCCGCCACCGCACTTGGCTAATTTTCGTGTTTTTAGTAGAGACAGGGTTTCACTGTCTTGGCCAGGCTGGTCTTGAACTCTTGACCTGGTGATCCACCCTCCTCAGCCTCCCAAAGTGCTGGGATTACAGGCGTGAGCCACTGCACGTGGCCCAATAATTTAATATTTTCTGCCATAATTCATTCGTGACAGGATTTGGTGTGGTGAGGGTGGGTGGCAGTGGAATGTAAAGGGCAGTGAGACAGGTGAACTTCATAAAAATTATTCTATATTGGTTGAAATATATGGCATAGCTTTGCACTGGGGCTAGGAAAGCAAATGCCATCCATAATTTCTTCATTTAAAGAAACTACTAGTTTATATTCTAATTCAGGAGGCAAGACATTACACCTGTAGAACAGTTAAAGGGAATATTGGAGCCACTGTGCACTTGAGTATAAATTACTAGAGCACTGGGCTTGGAGTTAAGACGTGAGGTCCAGACCCAAGCCTGCCACTATTTGTCCATTAGTGGCCCAAGATCAGTCAGCTTCTCTGGGCCTGAGTTTCTTCCTCTGTCTAAAGAGAGGTTTTAAAGAGAGAAATTCTGAGGATCCTTTCAATTCCAACGTTGCTACAGTAGAAAAGAGCTTGCAGAGTCAGAGGGGAGAGAGAATTTTGGGCTGGAGCCTAAGAAATGCCTTTCTAGGCGAGCCCCAGTTGCATTCTCCCTGCAAAGGCCCCCGAGGTGGGGGAAGTAGTTCCCTCCATGCCTCTGAGCTCACAGGTGAAGGTTTGCCTCCAAACACCCTTGCCTCACTTTTAGTAACTCCTTAAGAATCAAAGGAGTGCCACAGTTTCAGGGATTCCCCAAATGACCCTGTGGGACCAGCTCTCCATCACACTGCAGGTCCCTGGTGTCGAAATCAACTATGTGCCAGACACTGCATACAGGAAATCTTCCAAATGTTACCTCAATTACTCCTCATAAGGCTCCAGGGAAGTTGATCAGATTATCCCAATTATACCAATGCAGTGACAAATGTTCAGAGAGGTTAGAACACCTGCCTGGTCACTCAGGGAGGAAGTGCCAGGGACAGGATTCAAGCACAGCTTCGGCTGACTCCATTCCAACCTCACGGTTCCTGTTTGTATCCAGGCATCCCCTACACATGAACTGGCTGTTGTCCACTAAACCAAACCTAATCCCCAGAAACAATTCATAGTCCTCCGGCAGCTGTCTGCTGTACACCTTCAGCTTCAGAGCCTCTGCGTTTGGGCCCAACCTGTCTGCTGACTGCCAGCCTTCCACCATACAAACTGTGCCTCTTCACTGCCAACCAGACTTGCCCCTCATTCAACACCAAGCTGGAAACCCAACACTTTTAAAAGTCCTCTCTGAAATTTTATATACATATATACATACATACACTCTCTCTCTATCTTATTCCACAAAGATTTTTAAAATATTTTTTTTGTAGAGATGTAGTGTCACTATGTTGCTCAGGCTGGTCTTGAACTTCTGGCCTCAAGTGATCCTCCCATTTCAGCCTCCCAAAGCACTAGGATTACAGGTGTGAGCCACAAAGGATTTGATATGGCTTATAAGGATAAATACAATAGTAAGACTTAAGGTGTAAATAGTGCATTGCTACATGAGGACCGATTTTCTTACCTAACTCCGTTTGTCTTACAGCATTCTTTCCTCAGCCTGTGTATGTGTGTATTAATGTGCTTCAGAGGAGGCTGAGATGGAATTGCTTTTTGCCTCTTTATGTCCCTAAATAGCACCCAGCACTTGCCATTACATATTGAAGTGCTCAATAAGTCCTTGCTCTCGCCGCAGAAAGAGCTTACCACTGACCATTCTGTAGCCAGATGTGTGATTTGGGTGTTCTTGTCCCCATCACACTTGCCATATGAGGAAGAGATGATCATGGGCCATTGAATCTGCTCCTGGCCTGCTGGAATGCACATTCCAGGGATTGACTAGGTATGGTTTGCAGCCATAGGATCAAGCCAAACAAAGAGATCCAGATGATGCAGATGATGTCCTGGACCATGTGCACGAGTTGCTGCACAGCCAATCACAGACAGAATCTTGTCTTTCCCAGGCCACACACTGCCCAGGGTTGGTGTGACGTCAGAGGCAGGGCCAAGGCACACCGTCCCCTTTGCAGTGCTCAGACTGAGACTGGCCCTCTCCTCTTAACTTGTGACTTGCCACAGAGGGCCTTAATGTTACATGCAGACCTCAAGAGAAGCTCAGAAGTTAGACTGACACACATCTGCCTCCAAAGTACCCCAGCAGTCCATAACAAACTTACCTTACAGCAAGAATTACAGTTTGTCCATAAACAGATGTGCCAAATACATTTTCAAACTGTGGAGGAGAACAGATTTAGTAACAAGTAAAAAGCAAAAAATTTTTTAACATTTTCTACAAATCAAATGGGGCAGAAAAAAATAATGCCATATCTAGCTTTTAACAGGATCCAGCTGGGTAGAAAATGGACCCCGGGGACTTCTTACGATCTGAGCCAGGACCACCCCCACATAGGCTGCTAAGACGCCCTGGAAGAAAGTAAGTTGTCTCTATTTTCCTAACTCGAGTGGTTGCAATTGAGTTCTGGTGGATCCCTTTTGGATTATAAATCTCCCAGAAACTCTAAGAATGCTTCATTTCCTCATTGGTACCCCCAGGAACATCAAGTCGTGACTGAGATTAAGTCTTTAATCTCTGAAGACCAGGGCATAAGGCCTGAAACTGGAGGGGGCTTTTGTGACACTCACACTCAAAGACAAGTTTGGGGAATGTAGTGCTAAGTGACCATTGCTCAGTAAAGCCACAGGAAGCACTTCAGGGGTTCCCTGGAAGTAGGACTGCATTGATGTTGCTGTCTTCAGTGTACTGAATAGTACGAGCTGGAAAATTTGAATGCAGATCCAAGATGAGAGGGCAAGTCACTGCCAGCTGGCCCACGGGGCAGAGATGACATGCCAAAGGGGCAGAGCAAACTCTGTGACACAGCAGCCATGGATTCTATTCTAGCACTACCATGTACTGGCTGGCTGTGCAGCCGGAAGCACTAGCTCTCTCTGCACCATCTGCAAAATCATTTCCATGATACGTGTTTTCCATGTTACCAGTTCTAATAGTGACACAATTTCAAATTGGGAGACACAGACCTTGTCACAGAATAGACTTTAGCTTTTAAAAAAAGTCTCTCCA